GGTGGGGGGGGGTTAAGTGACTGCGCATTGCAGGCGGGAGCTGATAAGTTGGCGCATAAATCCAGCACTCTCAGTGGGCTGTCAAGCTGGGTGGGCTGGGGTTGCAAAAGGAGCTATGCATTGAAGACAATAGCTTGGATGCACGAGCGCCATTGAGGGCGTGACTGGCCCATGTCTGACAATGTCTCTAGCCACTGATGTGGCCTGTCTCGGGGTCCCCATCCAGGAAGACGGGAGTGATCAGCGCAGCTGTGTTTGCTGGTAATGACTCTCATAATTCGTTAGCAAATGAGTTGTTTGGTTCCGAACATCATACACCGACAGAAGAGATACCGAAATCCTCTTAATGACTGTTACTGAGCGGAACTCAACAGTTCACGAAGTTGTTCATAGTGGCCCAAATAACCAATAATATTTATTCAATCAATATGAAATGATTAGAAGTAAACAAATTGGGTTGTGAAGACAAACCTCAATTACTCTTCGTTCCAGAAGTGGGATATTCTGTCTGAGGAGTAAGGCAATGGTATGAAACTGATATCCCATTTCATTGAATTACTGAACTCATTCCACTCACGATCATTCGAGAAGTTCGAGGTATTTTCGAGTCTAACTAGCGCCAGTGATTGCTTAAGTGAAAAGATTCAAATCAAAGGGCACGCGTATGGACAAGTCCAGTATCTGAGGCGATTCAGTTGCACGGTTTATCTGTCTTATACAGGGAGTTGAAAACGCGTTACGTGGACATGGGACGCTTTCATTGGCAAACTTTCCTCCAAAGACTCTAGGTCAGGAAGCACGTCCCCTGGCTCGTGTTCGAATGGAGGGCGCTGAAATCGCTAAGTCGAGTCAAGGTGACGCAACCAAATTTCTGCTATCTCAGTAAGTCGCGCAGTTGTAGCTGTAAGCAATTCTGTAACAAAAATGAGTATTCTCTGAGGACACTTCTTCTGGTGGTTCTTGATACCATACTTTGAATCTTCTACTCATTTCTCTTCTCTTCAGTGATCGTCTGTCTGTGACACAGCATGCAAGACCGAGGATTACTGCAAGTGCCAGAAGTGTGGCTCATCATGCCCGCGGAGGAGCAGCCCGTGAATGTCTAAATCCAACCAGAACAAAATGGTCCGGAAAAGTGCTTTGGAAACGACGACCTGTCCCACCAGTCCATTGTACATTTTAAATAAATATCATTGATTATCCTCAGGCTGGTCGGTAAATCCAGTTAACTAACGATACGAAGTGATTCCTGCCTCGGTAGGAAACTACTTATGAGTAGTGAGGTCAATCATGAAGTGAATTTAATGGTAGACGTGGTAGGTTACCTGTATGCAGTATCAATAGTTCTCGAATTCGTGCCTATGCAGTTCGAACAACGTAATTCTAACGACTGTTATAACGGAGTAACAGAGAGAGAGATATAGCCTGGTCCGGAATAAAACATGAACGGTAAGCACGAGATTTAGCTGCCTTGCCCACTCGAAAAAAACGATCTATTCTCTCGACACACGATTCTCCGGTTGTCCGTTTCTCCTAGCAGAACATTTGGCGCACGTTCTGAATAATGACATTACGCGATATGCAACGCTCAAGCGGTCCTAATGGGAGAGCCAGAAATAATTTACCCGAAACTGTGGCGTTCCTTACCTCGAGATCTTCGTGAAAATAACAATCCAAAGGCAAATTTGGGGACTCGTTGCAAGACGGTGGTGCCGATCTCAAACTATGAATAACCCCGCAAACTACCTTGCTGAAAACCGTTCGACAGCCCATAACCGGCTTTACCCTTCTTGGGGCTCATCAGGTAAGCTCAGTCCCCGAGTTCCCGTCAACTTTATGTTCTACTCAAACACAAACTGCACGAAATTCGATTGATAGACTTATCTGCATACCAATTGGTTTTCAGAGGGGATTCACCTGGAACCCAGTTAAATCTATCATCTGTCTGTAGTATTTTTCATCTACTCGACACATTCACGTCCATTAGTTAGTGGTCAATCGCTCCAAAAGACCCTAGCGGGACTTTCGCCGCTATGCTTTCCCAGCACATCACGTTGTTCAATGGTTAAAGTGTACCTGTACCTCAGAACCGATTCATACAGCCTTCCGAAACGCCACATTGTTCCATTATCGAATGCTCCTACTCATAGCACAATTGAACTGAATCAACCGGACCGTTGCTTCTTCACGCAATATCAACCTCTACTTGTTACAGCCCCGTGAACGACTTCAAATCTCAGAATACGCCAATTCAAAAAGTAAAGAGAAAGAAAGTCTGCTGGAGCATTCGCCCAGTGCGGCATCGCATTGCAGAATTCGTGCTGGACGATTATTCTATACCAGAGGTGCCCACTACCTTCTTTTCGTTCTGTGGTCTCGATTTTACATTGAGTGACTGAGCATAGCATAAACAGGCCGGCATTGGGAAGCACCTCAATCTGAGCAAACGATGTGCCACTTTCTTTACCTGGTAAAATCCTTCCTACAAGTAGATTATGAAGCTGTTGAACGCAGGGAGTTGCCTTCCAAAAAGGCAAATTGTTGTAGGATGATATTACACCGATCACCGGTAAGGTTTACATTTTTAGAAGGTACATGCTTCATGTAATACACACTGATACAGTCGCTTGAAATATATCGCTTACCGAAAGACTAGCGGTAGCAGGAAGAAGTATCAAATCTGCGACAGTGAACTGACATTGTGTTTTCAGCAGAATCTGGCAGTTCTATTCCAGTCTGTGCGGAACGGAGTACTCCAAAGTTGTCCTGCAGATCAACAAAAGACCTCTCGAATACCGTTGAGCATCGGAACGATAAAATGTGATGATTTATCTTTATCGTGAAATTTGCTTGGATGTGTTGACTGTTTTTGACGTATATCTTATTCTGTGTAGATCGCATACGAAAGTCTCACCTCAGAAACTCCATCTTCACATTTTCTGGGTTAGAATGAAATATGTTTCAACACGGTCGCCGAACATACCCACTTAAATTTGGCCTAGCTATAGCATTAGAAACAACGCTAGCTGAAAGCTGTTGTGTCAGTCACCATCATCATCGGACTACCAGGTTGTTACCCCTTCATCATCAGAACGTCTCCCATTTTAATAGCAGCTTCCTCACCCACCGAGTTCTTCATGTCATATTCCAGGAAAAGAGCTTCAACCACCACTGCATTGTCAGTGTCCAAGAGTTTTTTGTTCTTGCATGGTGAACGCTCCATTCTTCAAAAATTACACAGGCGTGATTCACTCACACTAGATTTTTGGCCCCACGAATGCGGCATTATGGAATGTACCAGTCGACGCACCGGACATGTACTAACTAGATGTACAAATAAGGAGTCCAACACGCAACGACTGAACTCAAAACTTCACCTCATGGCCATCCTCACGCAGTGTGGTTTCCAGACCACCTCACCATGAGCACAGGTGTGTCGAGTAGTTGTCATGGCTTCCAGAACGTTCAGGAAACAAAGGCTGCAATTGTGATGCTCGGTCCACCTGCCCATGTGGAAACGGAGACGGATTTTACCCTTAGTAATCAGTTAGCCGGTGTGTGACTGTAGAATCATTACCATCAAGACTTTGCAGTGAAAGTAACTTGGTGTATAAGCGCATACCTTCACGAGATTTTGAAGGGCAGTTAAAAATATAATTGGTCTAAAGCATCTGAGGAAACCTTTCAACTGTTCAACCGCAGACAGAAGTAGGGCGACATAGTATGGCCCAGAAACGAAACTGATCAGCTTACCTTCTACCTCATACTAAAATATGATGTGTGAAGACGGACAGAATAACCAAGACTTATTACCGAACAATACTTGGTCCCCGTCGAAGTGGTACTTATTTTCCAGTGCTTCAACTATTCAGTTGTTCACTCGTAGAGAACAGGAAGACGCTATTCGCTTGATTCCGATGCTTCAGTGATACTCTAGAGGAGATGGAAATTCTGATGGCAAAGAAATCCGATCGAGAACCCAGAAATATTGAATAGTATTCTGTCACACCCTCAAACTGAGAGAAATGAACATGTTCTTACCAATACGAACAATGGCTTCTATAGAAATCCAAAATATACTTTCGTGACATGGCAAGCGATTCATTAAGCAGTCAATATAAATTTAGTCGCTTCATTCGTATGGTTAAAAACAGCAGTTTTACACGACTTCCTTTATTGTCAGGTGAACCTCTGGCCAGTCACTGTGCGAACTGATGCAACCGACCCCCTCTCGTTTGCACCCCAACTTTTGTGTGACACCCGGCTAGTGTTGGATATCCCACAGCGAACGTACTGCGCTTGTGCCTCGTTTGTTAAAGTCTCAACTCTAATTGTTTGAAATGTCTGCAGAAATCGGTGATGGGGATTACGATTATAGTCCAAAAAGCGAAACCCGTGGGAAATCTGTTGCGCCCAACTTTACTCCTACCGACCACACAATAGGATGTCATCATATGAAATAATCAGAAACCCCGCAACAACAAAAAAACTAGGGGACTACGCAAGTTATCCACCACCCCTCAACCTTGGTGAAGTGAGATGGATTAGTTTCAGTCAGCAGGTGACGAATTCTACCGGGAAGAAATCACGAGATTTAATAAAAATACCGCATTACTCAGCTGCCGTAAAGCGCTAGCAGGAAGAAAAATTTGCGTCGGAGAGAGATCACAATAATACATCTGCCACTTTCATCAGTCCCAAGACATGGATTAATTCGTTTTTTTTTTGGAAATAGAAATCAAGAAGGAAAGTTAGCCAGCCCAGCGAAATAATGCGAGGGTAGAAGCCAGCTACGTACGATGTGACAGCCGGAGGTTGTGTCTAAAACAGCCATCGTACATGTCTCCTCATGGCGACGAGTTTTTCGGTGTATGAATGTACACACCTAGAGGCGATCCACGTCATACTTTCGAAAAGGAATTTACTAAGGGAAGAAATTGGCATCAGGTTTGTCCGGACGGTTGTCCATCGCCGTCCCGGTGAATGTTCAAGATCGACAGGACAGTGAAATCAGTTGATCGACCGCGTCGTAACGGAACCGAATGAAACAGTGATGCAAGTAATTGAGAGAGAGCTGAGTTGTATAAGAGTTGTGAGGTCAACTGGGGCGAAAGGCTATCACGTTTTAGTCGCCATACCAAAGTGCACCAGTGGTTGAATCAGTTCGCCTTAGCAAGCAGATATTTTCATTGTCCACCGATGAAAATGGTGTGCACAAATCCATGGACAACAAGGCAGTAACTGTTTCTGTTTTACAGATGGATGAACCAGCTGGCTGGCTCCACGGAGGTTTTCAAGTCTACAGTGCAACCCTTATTACTTAAGACAAGTGCTGTCCATGGAGCATGTACCCACATCCCCTTAGCTGCCACGGACTTCAGTAGATGTAGACAGGAAAAGATTAGACATATTCTTGCCTCAGTAGAGCACTGTGGAAGTTTCAAGAGCCCTACTCGGGCGAACACGTCCTCATTGCAGCCAGTTAAAACTGACTACTTAAATTAAGCCTGGAGATTAGATATTTGTCTCCTGCCCAAAGGGAAAGGCGGAACGCACAGCCCCGTAACACTTAAAAGAAAATGGTAAAGCGAAAGGGACACAGCCCTCTGTCAAGTCCTTGCTGGAAGCCTCTACGTGCCAGAACGTAAACAAATATCAGACACCACCGAAGATGGTATTAGTTCCCACGCATCTACCTGACAGATTTCAAAACTAATAAGAAGGGGAGGTGGGACTCCGTACCCAGCAACGAAGGACACCAGTCACATAGTACCTCCATCGTACTTTTGAACATTTATAAACAGTTTAAGTGGCCGGGATGTAAACAGAGAAGCCCCCATGGACACCAAAAGGAATACTACAATACGGAAGGCTTTGATGCACCGCAGAGGTAATGAGATTTAGTTATGTGAACGTATGCCGGATCCTGGAATACCATCCGAAATTCGACAGAAAAGGAAACAGCCTCATGTTGTGCAGCGGTGTTGCGTTAGCAGTAGCCAACGCTGGTTGGCACTGATTTGTGCCAAGATTGGTGGCCCTTTCAGCCTTACGATAAGAATCCTACTAGCTCTGTGGATGTAACTTTCTTCACAGAGGTGTCAATTATCGGGAAGGAGAGTTTCTTTCTGTGTGCTGGAAGGTAACGCCAATCCTCGGGTTTACCATATCGTTCGCGGCTCTACCGTGCTGTACGCCT